GTTTTGTTGTCAACCCCAAGGCCAGAGGGGCCGGCATTGCAACTGGCAGGCCCATTAGAACTGCCCAGTTCTGTGGGGGAGGAGCTGTTTTCCATAAGAACAGGGTGGGATGCTATCCATAGTCAAAGAACAAAACAATAAAAGCCTTCAACAGATTGGGAAGGCCGTAACCTGGGTTCATAGCCTTAGGGCTGGAAAGGAAGGGTTGCCTTTGAGAAACATTATCCAAGAGGGGTAGAATCTGCTCTTCTGTATGCTAGAGGATGAGCAGATTTGGGAAGAGAAATAATGGGCTCCTATCCCTTGTAGCTCAGTCAGTAAAGAATCCACTTGCAAAGCAGAAGACCTGGGTTCAATTCCTGGGTCAGGAAGATCCCCTGGAGAAGGAAATGGCAACCCACTCCAGTGTACTTGCCTGGGAAATCCCATGGACAGAGGAGCCTGGCAGGCTACAGTACAGTCTACGGGGTTGCAAGAGTCGGACATGACTTAGTGACTAAACCACCACCATCTTTATAAAGTGGAAAACTTTCGTTGAGATATAGCTATCTTTATGAAAGTGGTTAACCTGATAGTGGGGTGTTTTTCACAAAGGCTGAGGTTCCATTTCAGTCCTTGTTGTCCAAGAGACTCTCAAGAGTTTTCTCCAACACTACAGTTCGAAAGCATCAATTTTTCGACGCTCAGCCTTCTTTATGGTCCAGCTCTCATCTCCATACATGACTACTAGAAAAACCACAGCTCTGACTAGGCAGACTTTTGCCAGCAAAGTGATGTCTGGTGCTATCTGTGCCTTCTTCCTCAAAGTTTTCTGACCATTCTGTATTAGTGAGCTCCACCAGTGGTAATGGTGTACTTTTCAGAGTTTCTCTTTTCTATGAGGCATTGTAGTAGGGCCTTCGTATATGCATATCATGTTATTTAATCATTACAGGAAACCTGTGAAGTGTATTATATGGAGGAGGGAAACCCAGTTAAGGGAGAATAAGAAATTTGGCTCAAAAACAGTTCTGTTTTTCAAAATTTATTTCATTTTTAATTGGAGAATAGTTACTTTACAATGTTGTGTTAGTTTCTGCTGTATAGCAAAGTGAATCAGCCACACATGCACATATATTCCCTCTCTTTTGGATTTCTTTCCAATGTAGGCTCCACAGAGCAATGAGTATGTACTGTAAGTTGGTTGCTCAGCTGTGTTCGACTCTCTGCAACCTCATGGACTGTAGCCCGCTAGGCTTCCCTTTCCATGGAATTCTCCAGGAAAGAATACTGGAGTGGATAGCCATTCCCTTCTCCAGGGGATCTTTCCGACCCAGGGATTGAACGTGGGTCTCCTGCATTGCAGGCAGATTCTGAAGAAAAGCTAGGGCAAACCTAGGCAGTGTATTAAAGAGCAGAGACATCACTTTGCTGGCAAAAGTCCAGCTAGTCAAAGCATCGAAGAATCGATGCTTTCGAACTGTAGTGTTGGAGAAAACTCTTGAGAGTCTCTTGGACTGCAAGAAGATTAAACCAGTCAATTCTAAAGGAGGTAAATCCTGAATATTCATTGGAAGGACTGACGCTGAAGCTGAAACTCCAGTACTTTGGCCACCTGATGTGAAGATCTGACTCATTGGAAAAGACTCTGATGCTGGGAAAGACTGAAGGCAGGAGGAGAAGGGTGACGGAGGATGAGATGGTTGGATGGTTATCGCCGACTCATTGCACATGAGTCTGAACAAACTCCAGGAGATAGTGAAGGACAAAGAAGCCTGGTGTGCTGCAGTCCATGGGGTCACAGAGAGTTGGACAGGGCTTAGTGACTGAACAAAATACAGTTGGTTAGGTCTGTTTTTAAAATGACAGGTTCTTCCTGGTACATGCCTTGTGTAGATACTACCACTCACTAATAATACCTATACTAGCAATCTCTTAGAGATAGTGAAGAACAGGGAAGCCTAGCATGCTGCAGTTCGTGGGGTTGCAAAGAGTTGGACACGACTTAGCGACGGAGCCACTCTTAATAGCAGGTCACAGTTACTGAGCCCTTACTCTGTGCTAGCGGTGTCCTCAATCCAGCGTGCTAGTTGTGCTGGCGTTATCCACATCTTACATTTGGGAAACCTGGTGCTGTTGGTCGTGTAGCTAGTAAATGAGGCAGGCAGAACTTGAATCCAGCTCTCTTGATGCCAGGAGCCAAATCTATAATCACTACTTTCTATTGCTTCTAGCTCAATGAGTAATGCTTATCTGATAGATTTACAAGTCAGCTGTTGTCACCATGTTTCTCTAGCAGTAATTTCCAACCCGGGGAATAGATAGAGCTGGTAGCAATGTTTCCTCCCATAATCTTCAGTGCTTTTCTTGCCTTAATCTCAAGGCTTGGGAGAAAGGAAAAGCAATTCACAGCACAAAAGTGCTTTGAGGTCTCCTGTTCAGAGAAATGATTAAATGTGTTTTGGTGATGATAAACATTGTTGCTATTGGTGTTCAGTCGCTAATTCATGTCCTACTCTTTGCAACCTCATGGACTGTAGCAAGCCAGACTCCTCTGTCCTCCACTTTCTCCCGGAATTTGCTCAAATTCATGTCCATCAGAAATGCTATCTAACCATCTCATCCTTTGCTGTTCCCTTCTCCTTTTGTCTTCAGTCTTTCCCAGGATCAGGGTCTTTTCCAGTGAGTCAGCTCTTCCTATCAGGTGGCCAAAGTATTGGAGCTTCAGCTTTAGCAACTGTTCTTCTAATGAATATTCAGGGTTTATTTCCTTTGGGGTTGACTGATTTGATCTCCTTGCAGTCCAAGGGACTCTCAAGAGTCATCTCCAGCAGTATGGCCAACTTAGTGGATAAGTTCTCATTTAGTTTTGGCTAAAAGTTTTATTTGCTCACTAGTCATATTCACTCTTTCATCACAAGTTTCCTTTTCTGTTAAAATAGAAAGATCGTAAAAATTGCCTTTATTTAGTGTGCTTCACTTTGACTCTTATTATTGGTTTGGATGTGGTCTCTTTCAATAAATAGCAGCATAGGGACTTCCCTGCTGATTTAGTGATTAAGACTCCACACTTCCACTGCAGGGGACCTGGGTTCAAACCCTGGTGGGGGAACTTAGATCTCACATGTCTTGCAGGCATGTCAACTAAAAAAAATTTTTTTTAATAAAAAAAATTGCAGCATAATATCTCCAGGTCAGCACAGCATTTGATATTGCCTATTTTAGTAAATTTACATTTGTTTAGCTTCTGTTAATGAACAATATTGGAGAGGAAATGGCAACCCACTCCAGTATTTTTGCCTGGGAAATCCCATGGGCAGAGGAGCCTGCTAGGTTATTTATAGTCCATGGGGCCACAAAGAGTGGGATTTGACTTGGTGACTAAAGAACAAAAATGAACAATATTATGATCAAACAAATGACATGATGTTTTTGTTAGGTTAATCCCTGATGTCTTTCTACTAATATAAAGGCCTGTGCTGTGGCCTGCCTTGGTCTGTTGGTTCCCAGATGTGGTATCCAGCTGTTTGTCATGTTCTCCTTCCATAGCGCATGGAAATCCCAACTGTATTTCCACAATGTGGGTTGCCTGTTGAGTTCACTGTTTAAAAACAAGTGAGAGTTGGAATATTCCTCTTTATATTTTTATTGAAAAGAGAAAAGATTACTATGAGTATATTACTATGAGTGTATTCCGTGGGTATTCATTATATGGGTTAATTTGAAAAACTTTTTATGCTCACTTCTGTTGGAGTTGGGTCAGATTACAATACAGTGCTCAGGATAAAAAAATTTCATGTTTCACTATTTGATGTTCATTCATTCATTCTTCATTTACTGTACTTAATCAACAAGTATAAATAAATCCTTGTTCAGGAGATGGATAAGATGTGTCCTTTATAGTGGGAGGAATTTATTATCTGGTAGAGCTGTTTACGGGCTTCCCAGGTGGCACTTGTGGTAAAGAACCTGGTTGCCAATGCAGAAGACGTAAGAGATGCCAGTTTGATCCCTGTGTCGGGAAGATCCCCTGGAGGAGGGCAAAGCCCGGAGAATTCTTGCCTGGAGAAATTCCATGGACAGAGGAGCCTGGTGGGCTACAGTCCATAGGGTGGCAAAGAGTCAGACATGACTGAGTGACTTAACATGCATGCAGAGCTGTTTATAGATTTCACTTTGCAGCCTTGATTAAATACAGTGAATGTTACTTAAAATTTCCAAAGAGATTCAGGCTCTCAAGAGAGCAGAGTTGCTGAAATAAAGTGTATATTCCTGTGTGATCCCTCCAGTGTTTGGGGAAACAAATACTGCCATTGATTGGTAAGGTGGTGAGAGATATTAAAGCCAGCTGAAACCGTTAAGCATGCCTGACCATCTTGAGGTAATTGCTTCTCTGCAGATGCCAGATATTATTTATAGAACTATTTTAACATTTAGTGAGAATCTGTAATATATAGGGTCAGCATGAGACTTTCATTCTAAATAACTTTTCCAAACTTCATATCTGAGAATGCATATTGTTTTCTGTGATTGCACGACTGTGCAAGTGTAAAGAAGTAGAAAGCACAAGACTATCACACTGTTTAAAAGAAAATACTTGCCTGCGTTACTGAGTATGTACACCAAACATAGCTCTTTGATTAATGGGACTATTTCTAGACAGTGCAAGGTGGAATCTATGTTCCTAATTGTGACACGATTTCCTGAAAAATACAGCTAGGTACATAGAGTTGAGGGTTTATGTGTAATTTGCCTTTTTAAAAAGGCCTCCCCCTAAATCCAAGGTTTTGCCGAGGCCTGCGAAAGCTGAGACCGAGCCCTGGCGGCAGGACCGGAAAACTTGCTTCCGGAACCTTTGCGCTTAAGTGCCTTGCCCCCGGCCGGTGCTCATTCGTAAAGGACCGTCCCAGCCAAGAGCTTGTTGGTAGGAACCTGCTTGGTCTGGGATCCGAGGGGTTTGAGGTTGGCTGTGGCGGAGACTCAAGCAGTCGCTGGGAAAAATCCACTGGAAGGAAGGCGCCATGGACGATCAGGGCTGCCCCCGGTGTAAGACCACCAAGTACCGGAACCCTTCATTGAAGCTGATGGTGAATGTGTGCGGACACACTCTGTGAGTCGGGGGATAGTTGAGTTCCATGGGGGGAGACGCACAGGGTGGGAGCCCTCGAGAGAGCCGGGAGATGCTTGTCTTCGGCTCAGGGGAGAAAAGGGCTTCGTTAGTATCGACACTGGGGAGGAAAATAGGAAAAGGGAACGTTGTATCTCTAAACAGACTACCCTCCAGCCCTGAGCTGCTCTGGCCTGCTTTGAACTGCCAGATTCCCTGATGTAACCAGCAGTTTGTCACGTTCCCCCCTCCTTAGGCGATGAGAATCTGGACTGTATTTCCGGGCTGTGTTGTTAACAGGGTTCCAGCGTGGGAGATCGGAGTGTTTAGTTTCACGCAAAGCGTTTTTATTAAAAAGAACGACAGTGCTATGAAAATACAATTACTGTGTTTATATACTGTTGTATTTGTTGCACTGGTTAATATGAAACTCCATCGGTATGCCCACTGTCCTGATGGAGTTTGGTTAGTTCTCTAAAAGAGAAAATTCAGATCCTAGGCAGTTAATTTGTAGATACAGTAATGATTGGCATTGAGTGTACATTACGTGTCAGGCAGTGTTCTAAGCGCTTTACCATTAGTTAATCCTGTTTCATTCTCAACAGCAGCCCCATGAAGTAGGTACTCATCTCATTCCCATTTTACAGGAAAGGAAACGGAGACTGCTTCAGATACCTTATTAGTGGACCTTTCTAGAATTGGAACACAGGATGTCTGACTATAACATGCCAATTTTGGGGGGCTTGGGAAGAAGGGAGATTGAATGTTTTGAAGAATGAGTGTAGGAACTTGTCAGCGTGTTTCTTGCCACGTTTTGATGGTTAAATGTGGTTCAGTAAAGGTGGTTTTATAAAGTGCTTTGAAATGTAAGGTGAACGTACTTTCTCGTAGCTTCTTTGATGTTTCTAAGATACAAAAAATGATTGTTAACCTACAATGTGGTAGACAAGATCTTTGGGTAAGTAAGCCTGAGTTGGCATGGTTAGTTGCAGCTATAATGATTATAAAAGGATTTAATAACTTACTGGATTGGTCTTATTTTCTAATTAGTCTTTATTTTCCTTTGCTTTATCCAGCAAAGGAAATCCAGTAGAGCTGTGATTGAATGGATTAAAATTAGAAATAAAGTAAAAGTAATCAAGTAGATTGGAAAAGGGAAACCAGACAAATGCTGTAAAGACTATTCAGTTTTTAGAAAGATTTTGCTTGGTTTCTCTTTACTTTCCTGTACCAGATTTGTTATAGTTGGTGCTCAAGGAAAAGGAATTTGCTTTTTTTGAAAGGGTACTAACTAGATGTAATTTACTGGAATAAATTGATACCTAGTAGTAATTAGCTAGTCAGGGAAGAGTATGTGATTTTAGCAAAATAAATTGCATTTTTATTAGACAGTTATATTTATTTTTAATTGGAAATTGCTTTTGTTGTGTCCATGGTTTTTTCTGTTTTTTTCATAAGAGTTAAGAATTGTCTAAGTCATTCTGATGTTGCATTGATTTTGGTTTATTTGCTAATCTGTTAGTTAAAGACCAAATTTTGCAGCCCTCTTTTAACTTGAAATATAATAAAAATGAATAAAAGATTATATGGTATTGGCTAAGAGAACAAACTTCTGATTTTGAATTCTTTGTACTCTCACAGGCTCGGGGCAAATTCCTCTTACCTCATTTTTCTTTCCTGTACAATAGAGATAACAGCACTATGTATATTACAGTGTTTGAGGACTAAATAATATATGTAAACATCATATTTGGAGGTGCTTAATAGAATTTTTTTCACATAGTATTTGTTCAGTATACATTGGCAATCATTATTATTATTTATGCATGGTATGGATGCTAAGCAGAAATAAAATTTAAACAGGATCCACTCGGCCTACTTTAAAAGACTTGCACAACAGTGGTATCTTTAAATGAATTCAAGAGATTATAAAATGTGGAAATACAGTTTTGATTATAATGCCCCTTTTGTGATTTAAATAGGAACTCAGTATCGTGTTCTCTCATGGAAATGGGGTTATATATATCCTGACTTTTTTCATAATGTATATCTTGGATATCTTTTCTAAATTGGATGTGTATATATTCCTCTTTAACATTTGGATGATAGTCCACTGTTCAGTTATACTATAATTGATTTATCCCAAAATTTTGTTATGAATATTTAGATTTCCTATTTTTCACTGGAGTCAGTTTCTCTCTTTCCGCCCTCCTCCCCAGCCCGTATGCAAATATATTGTAAGATATAAGAGGAAAACCAGGGGTAAATGCCTAATAGTAGAATTGTATGTGACTTAAATTTTGATAAACATTGCTCACTTGTTCTCAAAAAAGATTGTATCTGTTGTGCTCCCACCAAGTGTTCATGGGAATTCCTGTTGCCACATATCTTTGCTGGTATTGGGCATTATTACTTTTTTAATCTTGCTGTGCTGATTATAGATTTTGAACATTATAGATTTTGATGTGAAATACTTTTGATTTGATAGTATGCTGAATTAGTACAGAATGTCTCTCATGGGATTGAGCTTAGGCATTTTTATAATTGTTAGTCTGAAAGGAGTAGGTATTATTATTTAGCATTATTATTTGTGTTATCTATTGCTATGTAATAAAATGCCTCAAAAGTTAGTACCTTAAAACAATAAATATTTATTATCTTATACAGTTTTGAAGGGTCGGGAGTCTGAGAGTGGCTCAGCTGAGTGATTCTGGCTCAGTGTCTTTCATGAGGTTTGCTCAAGCTGTTTTCTGGGACTAGAGTGTATGTTTCCAAGGTCACTCATGTGGCTCTTGGCAACTTCAGTTCATCTCCTTGGACCCTCCATAGGACTGCTCGTGACATGGCTTTTCCCAGAGTTAGTGAGAGAACCAGGGGCTCCAGAGCCTTTCATCATCAGATGACAAAAATCACATTATTGTTGCTTCTGCTGTATTTTATTTGTTAGCACTGAACAGTCCTGTTACAGAGTGGGAGGGTATTTATACTCCAGAGTATGAATACCATGAGGCAAGGATTACCGGGCCACGTGATTTTACTCACTTTATTTTGTGTGTCAAGTAGCAAAGGCATTTTAGGAGGCAAATGGTAAAGTGAGTAGGGATAGTGCTTCACAGGAGATAGGAAGTGTGGGATTATAGAAGGATTATTCAGAAGTACTATTTATGAGAGAAAATACAGGAGCAGAAAGGAGAAAAGAGGTGAAACTTTATGAAAATACTTGTCTCCCTTAACTGCTAGCAGTTGAGGAAGTGGTGGTTGAGTAGTAAAGAGCCCACCTGGTGGGGAAGATCCCCTGGAGAAGGAAATGGCTACTCACGCCAGTATTCTTGCCTGGAAAACCCTATGGACAGAGGAGCCTGGTGAGCTACACTCCATACGGTAGCAGAAGAGTCGGATATGACTAAACAACAACAGATTCCATTATGTGTTAATATTAAATCAATCCAGCAAACACCCAAATGAATTGATTGCACGCACATCCAAAGAAGATTGGATTCTAAATTTGCTTTTTTTTTTTTCTTCAATTCAAGGATGAACTTTTGTCTTAGTTACAGAAAAGGGTAACCTTTTTCTGTTTATCAGGGCCACCTATTTTAAGAAATAAGCCTTTCATAGAATTCTTCATAGAATTCTAAAGGCATGTTGATTTAGAAGGAGTCAGTTATATCTAATTCTCATTTAACTAAAGTCTTTTTTTTTTTTTTTTTTAAGAGAAGATGGGAAAACTTTATTTTCTTTGGAATAGAGCACATCCTCTTTACCCAACATAGTTGGATGATATTTTTCAGAGCAACACAAGCAAGTAAAACTAATAATTTAAGTTTTATCCCAACCATCCTTGGCAATACTTGTCTCTGGAAACTTTACCTATATTTGCTTTTACTAAACCTTCTTTCTTCATTATAAACACACACAAGACACAAAGTAGAATAAACAAAAACTCATCCTGATATATGTTAAAGACAATATTTTGCCATATTTTCTTAAGGTTTCTCTTTTTCTCCTTTTTATTTTTATTTTTTTCTCTGCTTCTCTCTCTCTTGCTTATTGATGTTTCTAGGTAGCTTTTTCTGAAGAGTTAAACCAGTCTGAATTTTGCTGATTGCATCTCTGTGGTATTATTATGTTCCTTTGTATTTCCTATAAATTACTAGCAGTTTTTAGAGGTTTATCAGATTAAAGTTCGGTTTATTTATTGTTGGAAAGGATAATTCATAAGTGGTATTAATTCATTTGTTTAATATGCTGGGCTTGTACATTACCATTTTGTGAACTGGGAAACAGTGGACAGAAAAATTAGAAAAACGCACTCATTCTGGGTAGAAAATTAGAAAAAGGGGACTTTCTGGATATATTGTTGTTAATTTCTAATTTAATTTTGTTGTAGTAAGAGAACAAATTTTGCTAAATTTCAGTCTTATAAAATTTTGTGAAAACTTATTTATGGTACAGTGTGTGGTCTGTTTTGGTGAGCAAGGTCTTTCTTGATAGACAAGTCAAGTTGAAAAGAGTGTGTTCTGTAGCTGTTGGGTATAGTGTATGTCAGTTAGGTCAGCTTGGTTGATAGTGTTAACTTCTATTTTTACTAATCCTTCTGTATCCTTACTAATTTATTTTTTCTACTCATTTTATTAGTTACTCCAAATAGATTGTGTATTCCTCAGTTTCTCCTTTTAGTAGTTCTATCATGCTTCATGTATTTTAAAACTCTCTTATTAGGTACACAGATACTTAAAATTGCTATGCCTTCTTGTGATGAATTTATCCTTTTGTCATGAAATGTTCCTCTTGGTCTTTTGTAATACTCTTTATCCTGATGAATTTTTTTTTTGTCTGGTATTATGTCAGTCTCTTATGCTTTCTGTTTGATAGTATACATTTCTCTGTCCTTTGCTTTCAACCAATGTGTGTTTTATGTCTTAACATTTTGTAGGCAGTACATAGTTAGTCTTACTTTTTTGTATAGCTCAACACTGGCTGCCTTTTAATTGCTGTTAGTC